ACCTTCCACTAGAGCAGCTTGCTCCAAGCCCCTGTGTCCAACCTGGCCTTGAACACTGCCAGGGATGGGGCAGCCACAGCTTCTCTGGGCACCCTGTGCCAGCGCCTCAGCACCCTCACAGGGGAGCTCTCATCCCGCCCCTTCCCCACGCCCGTTCCTCTCCCGCCCCGCCGCCGCTTCCGCCCGCCTGCTCCCCCCCCGCTGCACGCCGGGAAGGGTCAGAGGGCAGCGGCTGAGCGCGGGCTTTAGTGCGGGCCGGGCCTGGGGCCACCGTGACCGCCCCCCCCCGGGCTTCCCTCCGGCCCGGTGACACCCCCGTTCCCTGCAGGAGGCCCAGCATGGCGGAGAGACCGGAGGACCTGAACCTGCCCAACGCCGTCATCACCCGCATCATCAAGGAGGCGGTGGGTGCCGGGCCCGGGGGGCACCGGGATGGAGGAGCCAGTTCTCCCCCGGGCTGCAGTCGAAGGGGCTCCGCCGAGCTGCGGTTTGGCTGCTCAGAACGGGCCCAGGCCCGGGAGGGGTGCGGGAGGGACGGAGCCAGGCTGTGACCCACCGAGTACTGCGGGCCTGCGCCGCGGCGGCAGCCAAGTCCCGGGGCACTGGGGCTGTGTCCGGGGAGCGAAGGGAACCGGGTCCTGGTGAGGGCGTGGAATAATCCCCTATGGGGGTGCTGAGGCGCTGGCACAGGGTGCCCAGAGAAGCTGTGGCTGCCCCATCCCTGGCAGTGCTCAAGGCCAGGTTGGACACAGGGGCTTGGAGCAAGCTGCTCTAGTGGAAGGTGTCCCTGCTGTGGCAGGGGTTGGAGCTGGAGGAGCTTTAAGGTCCATTCCAACACAAACCAGGCTGGGATTCTAACCCCAGTCACTAGAGGTCTGTTTGGTCCTGGGCATCGAGCTGTGGCCAGATGGATCCAGATGTGCCAGGGATCAGGCTGTGTTGGGAACCTGGGAGCCATCAGACAAATTGCCCTGAGACGGTGGTCAGACCCATCCCTGATCCAGAAGTGTCTTTGCTCCTGTGTAGCCCATTGCATTTAGAAGAGCACAGTCAAACTGAGGGTGCTTCCCAGCTGGCGTCAAAGTTGCTGGGATAGTGACCAAGACCAACCTTCCACTTCCAGTTGTGCTGAGTCTTCCAAATGCCTTAATGGGCCTGATATCTGAATTATGCAAGTTTAATTTCTAGCAGCTGCTGATAAAAGTTGAATTTGTTTTTCAGCTTCCTGATGGAGTCAACATCTCCAAGGAAGCTCGGAGTGCGATCTCTCGAGCAGCGAGTGTGTTTGTGCTTTATGCAACATCATGGTAAGAATTTGTTGCACTACATAACCGGTGCTGTTGATGTAGTTGAAAGTGTCCCTGCCTGTGGCAGGAGTTGGACTGGATGAGCTTTAAGGTCCCTTCCAACCCAAACCAGGCTGGGATTGCCTGTTTACATCAACAAAACAATCGTTAGTGCAGGCCAGTTTACCAGATCACAGCAGTGGCGTTCCGGCTGCTCTTTACCACCCCAGGGAAAGCAGCTTTGGGCTCTGGACATGGAGACCCATCCCTGCCAGGAACAGGAGGGGTCCCAGGCTGCCATTCCCTTAGAACACAGCTGCGTTGCCTTTCCCAGGAAAGGGAGGAGCGTTTGGTTCCCTCTCCAGGCTGCTCCCCACACAGCAGCCTTAGGCAAGCAGGAGCCTGCCTTATCAGCCCAGAGTTCCTTGGGCAGTTTGGATGCTGTGCAGGCAGTTGGTCCCCTGGTGTTGGGTATGGAATGGCTTTGTGGAATTGTCACCCTGCAGCCAGCGTTCTGACTAGCTCCTTCCCCCTGGTTGTGGGAAAGGTCCAGCCAACAAACAGCCAATGTAGACAGAGAGGTACCTTCAGCTGCCAGTAGGAGATTCAAAAACCCCAGATGTTTGAGAGATGGGTTCTTTTCTCAAGTTGCTTGTGACTAACAAGACTAAACTGGAGCCAGTTACCAGTTCCCTCTTCTACTTCTCATTTTTGACTAGTGCAAATAACTTTGCCATGAAGGGGAAGAGGAAAACCCTGAATGCTGGTGATGTTCTCTCTGCCATGGAGGAGATGGAGTTCCAGCGATTTGTAGCCCCTCTGAAGGAATCACTGGAAGGTACCAGCCTTGTTCACGTGGGGGGACTCTGTAGCACTGAGCCCTGTTTTCCTCAAGCACTGGACAAGCAACACTTACTTGCCTGTCTTGTTTCTCTTCTCTTTGCCCAGCAACCTACACTGCCTGGGGATAACTAATGTGCGCCCTAACAGGACTGGGATAACATTGTATGTCACAACTGATGAGGATTGAGAAAGTCTCATCTGCTGTCACCCCCCTATTATATTTATCTAAGGGAAGCCTTAGGTGCTGCCTAAATGTGAGCTCCTGCATCCTTTTCAGCAGGTTTCTGCTGAAACTTAGCCTGATTTCCTGGTCAGCACAGCTCAGACAATAGGGTGAGTGGCTGCTGTGGGGTCACTGCTCCTTTGAAGCAGCCGTGGGACTCCAGCTGCTGTGTGGTTCATGCCGTGGGGACGCCAGTGTGTCGTCTTTCAGTGTTCTCTTTCTCTCTCTTAGTTTACAGGCGTGAACAGAAAGGAAAGAAAGAAGCAAGGAAAGACAAAGACAAGAAGGCAGACTCAGAGGAGCAGGATAAGAGCCGAGAGGAAGAGAATGATGACGATGATGAAAGGATGGATGAAGAAGAGCAGAATGATGAGGAAGAGGTGGACAACTGAGCTCACTGATGTGTGCAGGCGCTGGGTTTTGGTCAAAGGGCTGTAAACACTGTAAATCAACTCTGCTGTGTCCCCTCTTGCTTCCAGTAGAGCTTTGCTCTGCTCCTCTGCAGCCTCTCCCTTTTGGCTTTAACTTGTACATAAAGGACTTTGGCTAAACCTTTGCTTGGACGTGAGGGACTCCTGCTAAAGGTTTTCTGGTGGAAGGACTCCTCCTCCCTGTGCTCGGGGGGGCTGAACAGTGACAGGACTGAGCTTTTCACACTGGCTTGGCTCTGAAATAGAAGACAGAAGAAATACTTGGAGCAAGAACTTGAGAGACCTGAATAAGCTCATTAAAGCATGTCAGGGGCTGAAGCAAATAGGTCATTAACCCTTTGGGGTTTAGAATCTCCCTGATGATGTCAGGGGGCTTGGAAGCTGAACACTGAAGCTTTTATCCCCATAACTTGCTTTATTTTCCTTCATTTACTTTCATTCTGGCTGTGCCTTTTCCTCCTGCTGTATCTCTGTCAGAGCTGCTGTGTCTTTCAACCACACCGGTCCTATGCAGCAATGAGGTTTGACTGCACAAGAGCCGGTGGCCCATTCACCTCACTCACCCAAACCAGCGTACTTCACAGCACTTTATGATATAAACTGAGTACTGAAAGTGCTGTTTTGTGTCTTTAAAGCCCTGGGAGACCCAGAGGAATTCTATTTAGGATCTGAATCAGAATGAACAGTGAAGCTCTGTTGGGATGTATGGTGGAGCTCACAGTCTCACTTCCCTCCCCTGCAGAGCTGGAGCGGGTTAAAATGGGGTAGAACAGAGGTGGATCTTGTTGGCTTGAGTAGGTTTTTCTCTTTACCTGATTGGAATGGGTTGATTGCCTCACAGGTCCTTCCATAGCCTTCAACAACCATCCCAGAGGCACAGTCTTGCCTCTGGCTGGGGTCTTGGGCTGCAGTGTCAGGCCTGGGGCATTCCAAAGCTCCTTCATGACTGATGGACTGAAACAAGCTGTGTGTGTTTCTCATGTAGGTTTGTGCTTTTATACTTGTTAGTTTTGATGCCTTTCTCTCTGAGAAAATATCCATTAGAATAAGGGTCCTTTAGGGAAAAGTGCTTTAGTAGTTGAGCTTTTTGAAGACTGATAAACCCAGTGTTTGAACTTAACTAGGGAAGTCAGGGGGCAGTTTTAGGTATGTTGAAGTGAAACCTGCGAGATTCACTGATCTGCAGTTTTAAAACAGCACTTGTGAGGAACAGAACATCCCTTTCACCACGAAGTGGATGCAGAACAACCCCAAGAGCTTCCCACCTTTGTGCCTGTGCAGAGTCCAGCTCCGGAAGAAAACTGAACCAACAAAGACTTTGTGCTGTCTGGCTCCTCCTGACACACAGTCAGATGAACAGGCAGAGCTGACACCATCTTCCCAAGATCCCCAGTGATAAAAGGCCTTTCTGCTAGCTCTTTGTCCTTTTTTCCTCTCCTTTCATACCTGGGTGCATATTCTGGAAGGGAACAATATCCAAATAAAAGCCAGAGTTTTTTTACACAAGTGGAGTCTCTTGTTCCTGTCAGTAACGAGCTTGTGGAGAGGGCAGAAGCAAACTGCTGTTGATGGAGTGTCTCACAGTGAAGTGAGGATGGAGGCTGCTGCAGCCCAGACCTAGAGTCAGTGAAGGCTCAGAAAAACCTTCCTGAAGCCTTCCAGTTAGCAAAGAATATCCCAAAAAGGCACCTAAAACCTGGCTCCTTACACCCGCAGCACCACAAAACCCTGCTCCAGGCCCCCTGAGCCCCAAAATCTGGGTCTAGAACTGGTCCAACTCCCCCCCCACAGCACCCCAAAACCTGCCTCCTTACCAGCCCCAGAACCCCTAAACCTGCTCTACCTCACCCAGAACCACAAACTCTGGGTCTAAATCCTGCCGCAGCTCACCCAGAACCCCAAAATCTGGCTCAAGGTTCCACTGCAGCACCCCAAAACCTGCCTCCTTACTGCCCAGTACCACAAAGCCCTGCTCCAACCCCTTCAGCAGCACAAAACCGGGCTCCAGATCCCCGCACAGCCCCCCAAAACCTGCCTCCTCCTCCCCCCAGCACCCAAAGCCCTGCTCCATCCGGCTCAGAACCCCAAAACCTGCCCCCTCACCCCCCAGCACCCCAAACCCCTCCTTCCCCATCTCCGCACCGCCTCCAAGTCCTTTCCCGCGCTATTTCGCGCGAGACTTCCCGCCACACCCCCGCACTGATGGGGCGTGTCTATGCTAACCAGGGGGCGGGATTATGCAAATCGAGAGAAGGAGCTGAGAGACTCCTACGGACAGGGCAGGACGCGTTGGCTGGTGAGTGCCTGCGACCGGGACCGGGACGGGGACGGGGACCGGGGGCACCGGAGCCGGGGCGAATGCCGCTCCTCTGATGCCCCCGGTCCCCGAGCCCGTCTTCTTATAGGCCTGCTCTGAGGCCGGAGATCGGGATAAGTCGAGGGGTAGGGCCCGGCCGGGCAAGGAGACGCCGCTTGGGTGCAGGCGGCAAGGACAGCGCTCGGTAGCGCAGTAAGGGCAGAACGGGTTCTGCTCGGTAAAGCACGGAGCAGCGTGTGATGGTGCGGTGTAATTGCAGATCCACTGAGCACTGAGTATCTGCAGCACTTGAGGTAGATGTTGTGAAGGGAAGGATGAGGGCCGGAGCAGCTCTGCTCTGGAGCCAGGCTGAGAGAGCTGGGCTGGGGCAGCCTGGAGAAGAGAAGGCTCCTGAAGGGGAGACCTGAGAGCAGCTCCAGTGCCTGAAGGGGCTACAAGAAATCTGGAGAGGGGCTTTGAACAAGGGCCTTCAGAGAGAGGCCAAGGGGTATGGCTTTAAGCTGCCAGAGGGGAGATTGAGATGAGCTCTTAGGCAGAAGCTCTTCCCTGTGAGGGTGCTGAGGCGCTGGCACAGGGTGCCCAGAGAAGCTGTGGCTGCCCCATCCCTGGCAGTGTTCAAGGCCAGGTTGGACACAGGGGCTTGGAGCAAGCTGCTCTAGGGGAAGGTGTCCCTGCCCGTGGCAGGGGTTGGAACTGGATGAGCTTTAAGGTCCCTTCCAATCCAAACCATACTGTGACTCCATGGTGCAGTGTCCCCTTATCGCAGCACTCTTGTAGCCCTTACTCTGCATCTCCCCTGGCCTTCCCCGTGCATCACACAGAGGCTGTAAGACCCCGGTGCCCTCATGCAGGCGGGTGCTCTGGCTGGGCAGGGGGACTCTGCAGCTCCACGTGGGGCTGGTGAGGAGCCCCCGGTGCCCCCAGCTCGCAGCAGACAGGGCTGTGCTGGGCCCACCCCCCTGGCTGTTATCTCTGCTCTGCAATTCAGCCCTGTCCCCGTCCCCTCCTTGCCCGGCGAGGGCAGCCTCTGAGCTGGGGCCTCTATCTGCCCTGCACAGAGTCAGGTGCCTCTGGTTCCACCCTGCCCCTTCCTCCTGGGGATTAACTGTTAAAAGCATTTTTAGGATTCTCGAGGTGGGTTTTGCTCACTGAGCCCTTTGTTCTCCACTCGTCCCAGCCTGGAGCCCGGCCACTGCACTGGAGCTGCCAACTGCAGTTCAGGCGAGGGCTGGCCCCTTCCCTGTGAGTAAGGGCAGAGCAGCAGCTTTCCAAGGGCTAAAAATGACTTGCCAAGCGATGCTGTGACTCTGCCAGCTGGTCTGCAACGCCCCCCAAGCACCATCCAACTTCTTCATAAGGTGTTTATGTAGGTGTGAGCCTGTAGGTAACCGAGAGGTGCCTTTTGCCCATCCCCAAGCAGAAACGAGAGACTCAGGTCAGGCCCTGGACTTGACACGATGCCCCATATTACCAGTGCCCTCTGCCTGTGGTGCTTTGCTACAGACTGAGAACCTGGCTCACCGTTGCAGTATCTTGAGCGTGTGAATGCCTCAGATTAAAGGTTTTCCTGCAGGATGGAGCCATCTCCTGCACAGCCCCGGTGCTCCCTGGTGCCGTGGGTGCTGCTGTAAAGCGTTCGCCCTGGGCTGTATCTGTTCCCTGGAAGCGGGTCCATGAGGTTTTATTGCTTGGGGAATCCCTCCAGGGGTGGGACTGGGGACCCCAGGGCTGCTCCAAGCCAGTCCCTGTCCTCGTGTCCCCTCTCAGGGCAGCCCCCCCTGCCATGGGGAACTAGGGGAGGAATCCGCTCGCTCCTTCAGAAGTCTCCAGCTCTCAGAACAATCTGGTCTCCAGCAGGGACTTGGCTCTTGTCTCCCGGGACACCCTGCGCAGGCGCCTGCGGGATGCAGCCTTGTGAGAGCAGCCAGACTGAGTCCTTGGAGCTGCTTGTACAAACAGGCTGCAGCCCAGGTTGGGGTTCCCAGGGCCCAAACAGCAGCTTCTGCTGTGCTGCAGCCAAACAGCCCTTCCATCGCTCATCCACCACACCACACAGTGGTGAGAGTTTAGCTCTAGGGGGAATTTAAATCTTAGCGGTCTCATCAGAGACTTGTTACCAGATCTGCTACAGAAGAAGAAAGCATTGCTACAGGAGAAGTTCCAGCATTAACACAGCTAACACTTCATTTCTGTGCATCAAGTAATTCTTCTTTGCAACCTCTGCAATCAGTTTGCCCAACTCCCTGGTGTTCCTCACCCTCACTTGCTGCAGCAAGTGGCCACTGGAGCTCTGGAGCTGTGGGGTTTAAAGCCCTGGAGTCTTCAGGGTGATCCCATGCAGCTCTCCCATCCAGTGCCTGTACTGTTCTGTAACTGCAGCCATAAATACATTGTGCTACATAGAGCAGCTCTTCACTGTATACAAATCTGTTATCAAACAACTTACACAGCATTAAGCAAAAGTGAAGTGAATTCAGCAAAGACCATCTCACTGATAGAAAACTGTTACAGCTGTAGCAGCCAAACCAAAGGAAGCCTGAGGAGGGTTCTGCTGTGGGGGGACACTGGTGGTTGTGAACTGGTGGTTTCATACACAGAACTAGGGGGTTTCATGGGGAGGAATCAGCATCATCCCTGTTTATGTGACTGCTGCTGGGGGTCCTGCAGCACCCACCAGCAGGGCTGGGATGGAGCTGGCTGGGATGCAGCTCATGCTCTCTGTGTGTGCCCAGTGAGGGACAGGGATGGTCCTGCCATGGCTGCCTGGATCTGAGCCCCCTCCTCACATGGACCAACAGTAGCAGCTTCCCAGGGCACCACCGGTCACCAACCTGCTGGCTTCTGGTGTTTCAGAGCCTCCTTCCACAGCATCCACGATGCAGGCAGATTCCCTTCTCCACAGCGGCTACTTCCACCCTGTGCTGCGCTCCTGGCAGTGTACAACCACCACCTTCGATGCCTCTAACCTCATCTACCCCATTTTTGTCACGTGAGTGAGCCCTGGCTCTCTGGGTTAGGGATGGACCACGCTCAGGGTGTCCGGTTTAGGTGCTCCCTGAGCTCTTAGATAGGTTCAGGTTCCCCATGGAGCGGTCAAGCCTGGGATGGGGGTCAAATCCTCACACCGAGTCTTCACGTCTCTGTCCCATCCACCTCCTGCAGTGACAGCCCTGATGCAGTGGAGCCGATCCCCAGCCTCCCTGGACAAGCCAGGTAAGAGTCCAGCCCTGCTGAGCTGCATGAGAGTCACTGCCGTGCTCCATGCCAAAGCAGGGTTGATGCATGGCCTGAGATGAGCATGAGCCAGGAGCGATGCTTCCAACCCTCTGTGGTCCCTGCCTTGGGGACCCTCAGCATCAGCCAGGGCAGGAGCACTCATCCATCATATTGGAGTGCTGGGAAAGTACCAGTACTGGCAGGGATAGTGCCAGGCTCCCACAATGTCCCAGAGCACTCGCACATTGTGTGGGCTCAGCATGCAGGGAAATTGGAAATGGGGTTTCCAGCAGCAGCTGGAAAACCTGTGCAAGTACATGGGCTCTGGTCCTGCACGAGATCCTGCTGGACTGGCAGCTCCTGTCTTCATCTACTGCTGCATCAGCAGGGTTGTGGTCACAGAGCCCCCAGGAGGTGTTCCTATGGGGAGGTGGGCTGGATCTGCCACAGGGACACCACGATAAGGGGTCCAAGGACAGGGCATGCTTGGCCTTTCAGAGCAGAGAGTGTCCATGCGGGGTAGATAATGTTCCTGTACTCCCAGATAAGGTCCTGGGTTGTTCCTCACAGTGTTCAGGCAACGTGTCCCCTGTATCTCCAGTTGCTGCTTGCTGTGGATGCTGGGTCGCTCCCAGTCCAGCACCCAAGGCACAACCAGCTCACCCATGGAGCGGGTGCCTGGCAGCCCCTTCCCTTTGCTCTTCTCAGGTATGGAGTCAACAAGCTGGAGGGGATGCTGCGTCCCCTCGTTGAGGACGGTCTGAAGTGTGTGCTCATCTTCAGGGTGCCCAGCAAGGTCCACAAGGTCAGTGTGCAGGGTGGTGACAGGGGGTAACCACAGGGGTGTGGGAGGGCAGAGTGGGGCCAGGGAGGTTCTGCTGATCAAAGAGGAGGAGCTCAGGGTCTCTGGCCTTGCTTGCACCTCACCCAGTAGAGCAGGATGGGGATGGGAGACTGTAGTGAAAGCTCTTGCAGGTGGGCTTGAGACCTGCACTGGCTGCTCAGAGGCCCAACTCCATCACCCTTTTCTATGGCTGGTGCTCACACTGCCCGGTGTGACAGGGTCTCAGGGTTCAGAAATGGGTCCCTGGGCACAGCCTCTGCCATGGAGGAGTGGGTGGGAAGCCCTGGGCTGCGCATGCTGAGGCATTTCTGTCCTCCCAGGATGAGGAGGGCTCTGCTGCTGATGCAGAGGACACTCCTGCCATCCAGGCCATCAAGAAGATCCGCTCCACCTTCCCAGAGCTGCTGATTGCCTGCGATGTCTGCTTGTGCCCTTACACCTCCCATGGGCACTGCGGTGAGCACGCAGCCTGGGTCCTGCGCTGCTCCTCGGGCATTATCCTGGCACTGGCAATCTCGGGGGGGGGGGGAGTCATTTCCTACTGAGGAGCTCCGTGTGCTAGTGAGGTCTGACCAGCCCCTGCACCAGGACTGGGCTCCCCAGTACTGGTGCAGTTGAGCCTGGGAGACATCTCCTAGGTGTTGACAGCAGGGTGGGAGGCACGGGTGCTTGAGGCAGCCACTCTGGCCATCTGAGTCTGTCTGAGCACCCATCTGTGTCCTCCATCTCCATCTTCCCTTCCCCAGAGCACTCGTGGTTGTTGGTCTCCTGGTCCTTATCCATCTCCCTTGACACACTCCCTGCTGTTGCTCTGAATATCCTCATAGCTTGTCCCCAGAGCCATCTCCTTCCCTAGAGATGGAAGCAGGAGGGCCCGTCCAGCCCCTGTGTAACCCGGCTTTGTCTCGCAGGCATCCTGCGCGAGGACGGCACCATCCAGAACGAGCTGAGCTGCCAGCGCCTGGCACAAGTGGCGCTGGCCTATGCCAAAGCAGGTGAGGGTCCCCTGCAGCGGTACCCAGGCTCAGACCTGTCCCCTCTCCCTTTCAGCTGGACACAAAGCAAATGGGGCCTGGCTCCAGCTGGGAAGGATTTGTTCCAAGATGGGGGAGCTGCAGGCAGCCGGGACCCCCTCAGCACTGGGGTCTCCTGCTCCTTGTACAGGCAAAGCCAAAGCCTCAGGCACTCCTGTGTCTGTTTCCCTGCAGGCTGCCACATCGTTGCCCCCTCAGATATGATGGACGGGCGCATTGCAGCCGTGAAGGCAGCGCTGATCTCCAATGACCTGGGCAACAAGGTGAGCTCAGGATCTGCATGAGCCAGAGGCAGGAGTGATGGTCACAGGGAGCCTGTGCCACCACGGGACCTGGAAGAGCAGTGGGGGAAGCAAACCCCTGCCTTGCCCAGGATGTAGGGACAGGCCAAGGGGAATGGCTTTAATCTGCCAGAGGGGAGACTGAGATGAGCTCTTAGGCAGAAGCTCTTCCCTGTGAGGGTGCTGAGGCGCTGGCACAGGGTGCCCAGAGAAGCTGTGGCTGCCCCATCCCTGGCAGTGTTCAAGGCCAGGTTGGACACAGGGGCTTGGAGCAAGCTGCTCTAGTGGAAGGTGTCCCTGCCCATGGCAGGGGTTGGAGCTGGAGGAGCTTTAAGGTCCCTTCCAACCCAAACCACTCTTATTCCATGTGCCACAGGCATTTCCCTGTCCGTGTGAGCACAGGAGGGGAATGTCCTTGACTGGATGTGGGGACGCTGAGGTGCCAGGGCTCTGGCATGGAAAGGTGGATGTGTTATAGATCAGCCATGGCAGGGAATCGCTTCTGCCCTGTTGCTGGGATGCAGCACCCTCCTTCTGGCCCTCACAGCTCCGCTCTCCTCTGCAGGTCTCGGTGATGAGCTACAGCGCCAAGTTTGCTTCGTGCTTCTACGGTCCCTTCAGGTGGGTCTGTCCCTCAGCCGGGAGCTGCATTCCCAGGCACTTGTTTGGGAAGGGGGCTTGGTCAGAGCCTGGGACCATTCTGGTCACTTTGGAGCACACTCCTCCTGCTTCCCAATGGGAAAGAGTGATAAATGTACCTTGCCCAGGAGAGGCAGGCCGGGGGGAAGATCAGGGGTGGGACAGAGACCACCTTGGTCACTTGCTTGTCCAGGGCATTGGTGGCAATGCAGGTACATAGGGAGCTGCCAGAAGCAGTGAGGAGGGCAGTTACAGGAGCTGGTGTTGCCCCAAAGGGTGGCTTCAGGGACAAGCTCAGCTTGGTCAGCTGGTAGACCTTGTCCCAAGAACAGCCTGACCCTGGTGGGGCATCCCTGAGGAACCTGCCTTGGAAAAGAGCAAAAGGAAAACATCTGACACGATTTCACCCCATCTGGGCATGGGGAGGGCAGTGGGTGCTGAAGCACAGCTCAGCCTGGCCTGTTGTACCTCCCCAAGTGATCCTGGGGCACAAAGGTGCGTCAGGAGACACCCCTCAGGTGACTGACCTGGTCTGTGCTCATGTTTCTGAAGCTGTATGAGGTGGGAGGCAGGGGGAGCGGTGCTGGTCCTTCATCCCCTGCCCTGCCTCGCCTCTCACCAGGGATGCTGCTCTATCCAAACCTGCCTTTGGGGACAGGCGATGCTACCAGCTGCCGCCGGGTGCCAGGGGCCTGGCCATGCGTGCTGTGGTGAGTGAGGGGGTGAGCGGGGCTGGGGCTGTGGGGACCAGAACACCCTCCTGTGGGGTGACAATTCCTCAGCAGGGCTTGGGGAGAGCAAGGTCAGGGCTCTTGGGAGTCAAAAGGGAGCAGGAGGCAGCAAAATGGCCACGGGTCTTCCCCTTCAACAAGCAAGAGAAATGAGGCCCATCACCCTGCAGAGCTGGTGCCCAGCGCAGGCCCGAGGACTGGGCTAGGAGCTGTGGAGTTGGTGATCCCATACCCTGCTGTGGCTTGGGCTGTTGGGTCATGGATCCCAGCCTGGTTTGTGTTGGAAGGGACCTTAAGGCTCATCCAGCTCCAACCCCTGCCACGGGCAGGGACACCTTCCACTAGAGCAGCTTGCTCCAAGCCCCTGTGTCCAACCTGGCCTTGAGCACTGCCAGGGATGGGGCAGCCACAGAGCCATTGCCTCCCCCAGCACCGGGTGTCTGGCGGGGGGGGAGTGGGGGAAGCTTTGCCTCCCCCATCACAGCCCCTCTGGGGGCTCTTGTGGGTGAAAGCATGGACCTGCTGGAACGTTCTTGTACCCGAGCTGCTGGGGTTGTGCGTTCCCCTCACAGGACCGGGACGTGCGGGAGGGAGCCGACATGCTGATGGTGAAGCCAGGGATGCCCTACCTGGACCTTGTGAGGGACGTCAAGGCTCGAGTAAGCTCCCGCAGCCGGGGAGGGCGCTGGGTGTCCCCAGGGGGGTGAAGGTGTGCGGTGGGGAGGGCCGGTTGGGACCTGTCACTGCGGGCCTCACGTTGGGGCTGGTGCTGCCGTGTGAGGGGGGGGCAGCGGACACGAGGCCTGAGCCCGCCGCTCCCCGCAGCACCCCACGCACCCGCTGGCCGTGTACCACGTCTCGGGGGAGTTCGCCATGCTGTGGCACGGGGCCCAGGCCGGTGCCTTCACCCTGGAGGCCGCGGTCCGGGAGGCGGTCACGGCCTTCAGGCGCGCAGGTGAGACAGAGCCCTCGCCCCGGGCCCGGGCCGCTGCCGCCGCGGGGCCGCTCCACCCGCCCGCTCTCTCCGCAGGAGCCGACGCCATCATCACCTACTTCACCCCGCAGCTGCTGCGCTGGCTGCGGGAGGAGGCGGCGGCGGGGCGGGCCTGAGCCGGGCCGAGCTTCCGGGGCGGGCAGCGGCGCTTCCGCGGCAGAGGTGGGTGCGGGACGGGGCTGCCGCTGGGTCCCGGTGGCGCCTGGGCCCCTGCGAGCAGTGGCGGCCGCCCTGTTCCTCCCCTGCCCAGCTCCGGTACGGCCCCGCGGAGCCCTCGCACCCGGCCCCGGTACGGCCCCGCGGAGCCCTCGCACCCAGCCCCGGTACAGCCCCGCGGAGCCCTCGCACCCGGCCCCGCTGCGGCACCCACGGTGTGGGGCGTTCAGCGCCCGCCCTGGGACACCTTGCACCGCGGGCCTGCGAGCGGGGCGCCCCCCCCCCGGCAGTGTCCGTGACCCTGAGCCCTCCCGAGGGACGCGGGTGTGATGCGGGCCAGGGGCCGGTTCCCGCACTCCTGCGACAGTGACCGGCGTGAGCCTGCACCGCCCCCGGCTCTGCCCTCCCCGTTGCCCCGGGTCTCCCGCGGCGCCGAGCTGCGCTGAGGCCATGCTGCGGCTCCGCTTGCTGACGTGGGACGTGAAGGACACGCTGCTGCGGCTGCGGCAGCCCCTGGGGCACAGCTACGCGGCCGAGGCCCGGGCTCACGGCGTGCGGGTGCAGCCGGAGGCGCTCAGCCGCTCCTTCCGGGAGGCGTACGGGGCCCATGGCCGGCGCTTCCCCAACTACGGGCAGGGCCAGGGGCTGAGCTCCCGGCAGTGGTGGGTCGATGTTGTCAAACAGACCTTCAGGCTCTCGGGCGTGCAGGACGAGAGCGTCCTCACGGCCATGGCCGAGAAGCTCTACCGCGACTACTGCAGCGCCCGCAACTGGGAGCCGCTGCCGGGCGCCAGCGAGACCCTGAGCCAGTGCCGCCGGCGCGGCTTCCGCATGGGGGTCGTGTCCAACTTCGACAACCGGCTGGAAAGCATCCTCTGCCAGTGCGAGCTGCGGCACCACTTCGACTTCGTGCTCACGTCCGAAGCCGCGGGCTGCGCCAAGCCGGACGCGAGGATCTTCGAGCAGGCGCTGCGGCTCGGCGGGGTCTTGCCCCGGCAGGCAGCTCACGTCGGGGATGACTACAGCCGGGACTACAGGGCAGCGCGGGCCGTGGGCATGCACAGCTTCCTGCTCCGGGCTGCGGGGCAGGGCGAGGAGCCGGAGGTGCCTCCAGAGCACGTCCTGCCAACGCTGAGCCACCTCCTGCCTCTGATTGAGAAGGAGTAGCTGAGTGCAGGGGAGAGCCGGTGCTGCTGAGCCGTGAACTGGCCCCAGCGTGGGGTTTCTTGCTGCTGGTTGGGCAGGGAGCAGTGCTGTCTGTGGACGGGAGAGGGGTCCTGCAATAAAGCGTACCTGACACTAAGGATTGCTGCTGCTGCTGCTTTTATAGCTCTCAAACACTGGGCAAGGTGAGCGGTGGTATCTGTGCCTCACAGCCGGGGCCTGGGTCAAGCTGCGTTCCACAGGCTCCTTCTGGCAGGAGGGATGGAAGCAGCCTTTGAGGTTTATGCCTTCGCAGTCACACTGGGGAGAGGCTCCAGCAGCCCCCGGTTGGTCTGTCGCAGGTTGGTCTGTCCATGCAGGGCACCCACACGCAGTCCTGATCACCTCAGTGTACCCCAGACTGACCACCTCACCACCCCCACCACCCTCTTCCCAACAGTGGCTGTGGGCCTCCTGCTGCCAGCAAAACAGAAGTTGGGCAATTTCACTTCATTTAATGTACTGCCAATTAAACTGTACCAATTTGGGCACTGAGTAATAAAGATGTCAAATTTCATACAGGGAAGCACCTTTCCTACCCTTCTCCCTTGGCTCAACTTCAGCCCAGCACCTCTCCTTCCTCCGGGCCTAACATCAGCTCCCTGGGGTTTTGCCACATTACACTGAACCCTCAAACTGTTGGCAAGGTAAGGAGCAGCTCAGGTGGGGTTTGTGCTCTCCTTGCTGCTTCCTCCCCTGCTCTGACATGGGCTCCTCCATGGACCACAGCCCCTTGGGGTGCCCCTGCCGTGGCATAGGTCCACACAGGTGACAGCCCCCTGCCCTGTCCCTGCTCCTCCCAAAGCATGTCACCAGCTGGGTCCCACTGATGTCCCTTTCCATGTTCCTCCTCCCTTCTGTTCCTCCAAACACATGTCCAGAGCTGTCAAATCAAGCAGGAAACATTCCCTATTTCTGCTTTATGAAGCCCACCATCAGGCAGGGAGCTGCCTTTGGTCAGAGAGGAATTAACAGAACAAAGAGCCAGGCATCACCCTGACCCCTTGCCCTGGCAGACAGGGTGGGTGATCCTCCCGGAGGAGGGAAAAGCTGCTGTCAAACACATGGAGAAAACGTAGTCTGAAGGCAGGTCCTGTGTGGTCTTTTTCCCACAAAGGTACTGTATAGTGCATATACAGTCACTGTACATACAATTGTGTATTCGCCCCCTCAGTGAGCACAATGCTGCGCTCACTGGACAAGCGAGATGCTCTCGTGTGCCACAGCGAAGACAGGGTACAGAGGCTCTGTGAAGGTCTCCCTATGGGAGAAGAGGATGGTGCAGGAATCTGGGTCGTAAAAGAACACCTCCCCTCCTGCCAAGTCAAGGAGGACCCCGATCTCTGCCGGAGCCTTGAGCAGCTCCACAGCCTGCAGGCGCCCGGCGTGCAGGAACCTGAACTCCCTGTCGTAGCGCGAGAAGACCCAGGAGGCAGCGTTGAAGCCCAGGCGGGCTTCGTTGGCAGAGCCCTTCCGTGGCAGGGAGCTGTAGCAAACCCCCAGCTTGTAGGCACAGCTCTTGTCCACGCTGATCCTCCATGCACAGACTCCCGACTGGAAACCTGCAGTAGCCAAAGCGTTGGGCCAGTGGTCAAACCGCTCGGGGCTGTCCAAGTCCACCTTTGCTTTCTTGGGGCTGAAGGTCAGCGTTTTCTTGTCCTCCGACAGGCTGAGATGGGGGCTGAGTGTTTTCTCATCGATGTGAATCTCCTGTGAGCCTGCAAGAGGAGCCACACTGTGAGCACCGGCTCAGTGGCCACCACCTGAACCACCGGAAGAAGTCCCAGCCCTCAGAAACACAATCACAAACAACCTCCCCTCGCACATCATTCCTGAGAAACCCATCTGTCCCCCCGGGGTGACACAGGGCCAGGACAGCAGCTCCCGACAGCTTCCCCTCTCGAAGCAGACTCAACAAAGCCCAGACTTTACCTGGCACCTCTCCCTCCTTGCACTACAAGTGCTACCGAGTCAGAGATCACAGAATCAGAGTGGTTTGGGCTGAAGGGACCTTAAAGCTCCTCCAGCTCCAACCCCTGCCACGGGCAGGGACCCCTTTCCACTAGAGCAGCTTGCTCCAAGCCCCTGTGTCCAACCTGGCCTTGAACACTGCCAGGGATGGGGCAGCCACAGCTTCTCCGGGCACCCTGTGCCAGCGCCTCAGCATCCACACAGTAAGTGATTTCTTCCTAATGTCTGATCTAAATCAGCCTTTTCAGTTTGAATCCCACATTGTCTTATCACTACTTGCCCTTGTCCAAAGCCCCTCTCCAGGTTTCCTGTAGCCCCTTTAGGCACTGGAGCTGCTCTAAGGTCTGCCCAGAGCCTTCTCTTCTCCAGGCTGAACAAACACTGCTCATCTTACTCTGTCCCATGCCCAGATCCCCACAAATCAGAACTCCACGGGTTTGGCTCATCCCACTTTTGGGAGCGACCCAAACCTCAGCTCCCCTGTCCCTTCCCACCCCCACTGTGGGTGCGCAGGACCTGACTTCTCCTCTAGCCCGGGTGAGTCAGGAGCCTGCCCAAGGAGGGAGGGCTCTTTGCAGAAATCCTGCAGAGCTGGAAATACAGGAACGAGGAGGAATGGAGAGGGCTGGGCAGGGAAATCCCTTGCCTCCTATAAAGCCCAAGTTATTTGTGAACCGAGCGTGTTGGGAACAGTGGAGGGAGGAAGCACCGGGCATTAGAGATGAGCACGACCGTGATTTGGTTTTGCTGTGAATGAAGGTGCTGCCCTTGCACCACAGCACAAACCCAGTGAGCTGCAGCACAGGGCGAGAGCCAGGCTGGCTGCAGGACACTGGCACCCACCAGGGCTCTGCACCACTGCAAACCCATGGGTGAGAGCACCCAGCACTGCTCACCCTGCATGAAACCCCTCAGCAGATCGTGTGTGAGTCCTGAATAACTACACGAGTGTCTCCCACCTCTGTAAATCCAAGAGATGAGGCCAATACCCACCTGACTCACCTGCTCCCAGGGGACAGAGTTTCTACCTGTGGGAGCCCCTCCTTGCCCTGCCTTCCTCTGCCCTCACTGCACCCATTTTATGTCTTAAACTGCCAAGGAAACAAGGCTGGAGCAGGTGAGTCATTTGCCAGCAAGAGCTGTACCATATCATAGATTCCCAGCCTGGTTTGGGTTGGAAGGGACCACCTTCCACTGGAGCAGCTTGCTCCAAGCCCCTGTGTCCAACCTGCCCTTGAACACTGCCAGGGATGGGGCAGCCACAGCTTCTCTGGGCACCCTGTGCCAGCGCCTCAGCACCCTCACAGGGAAGAGCTTCTGCCTAAGAGCTCATCTCAGTCTCCCCTCTGGCAGGTTAAAGCCATTCCCCTTGGCCTGTCCCTGCAGGCCTTTGTGAACCCCAAACCTAAGCAACACAGAAGCCTGGATGCCAAGTGAAGACATCAAAGGAATCGTGTTTATTTTTGAGTGTGAAGTGAAGGCTGTTTCCTGCTGGCCTGCAGGTTTTTGAGAGGCTACAGCACAAGCCCTCAAGGCCAGGACTTTCCTGTTTCCAAGCAAAAAACCGAGACTGATGCCTGTTTAGCTGTCTCTGGAAGGAGGGACCACCATGTGAAACACAACATTACTGTCTCTGGAAGAAAGCTAGGACCATCACAGTTAATAATCTCTAAGGCTAGGTCCTGGGTGCACTACGGACTAATGAGGTATGCAAGGATATGGCAGGCATCCTCGGCATGCAGTAATGGCACATCAAATGCAACAACAGACAAAAACGCACCCAACTAAAGCCAAACAGAACGAACTGTGTGTGAAGTGCACCACTACAAAAGAATGCCTGAGAGCCATTCCATTTCATAGGGAGGCTA